ACATCCGTTCGAAGCCCGATTTAGGCTACCCACACCTTGGCGAGCTAGATCTAAGTTACCCACAGCCATACGAAGTCGATTTTGTGGTAATGAGTCATTTGAACCCTCTTAGAATTGATTTCGAAGGCTGAATAGTACATGTAACTTGCTGTTTTTTTTCTGTTTTAGTGCCTAGGTGTGAGTTGACGCAGAACTTAGGGGCGCGGTTGTGAGTAAGTAGACAAGGGGCGTGTGCGTGCGTTAATGTGTGTCAAATGGCTTCTAATGTGCTGTTTTTGTGATGTTTGATATTATTTTTGATACGCTGTTGTGTTAGGTAGCTCTCGATTGTGTTAACCTGTATACTTGGTGTAGTGTTCAATATTCGTTGGTGATAATGGTGGAAATGTTGCCTTGTTAAACTACTGAAAATGGTTGTGGGATGATGTGTGTTTACAAAAGATGCACGTTATAATAGAGTTATTGTGATTATGCTTTCTTATGATGTGAGCGTGCTTATATAGTTTATATAAATGTTTCTTTATGATGCGAGCCTGCTGGTCTGAGTCATATTATTTTCTTATGAGATGTGGGTGTTATTGAAGCATATTCTCGGACCCGGTTCGCAGGCTAGGGGTTGATGTGAAGTTGGTTATGACAAGGAACGTTGGATTCTTGGGGTAGGTGAATGGGTGAGTGTCAGGGCCTCGGGTATAAATGGTCGGGGGCTGATACGTCACTAATGGAGTATCGAGGCCTCGGGTAAAAATGGTCGAGGGTCGATGCAATAGTGTCGGGGCTCTGGGTAAAAATGGTCAGGGGCCGACTCTACTCGAAGGAGTTAGCTGTGGAAGGCTAGGATAGCTGTGGTAAGCGTAGAGGTACTTGAGATGTTAGGGAGACTCGAGGTTGGTAGCTAATTTGTTCATGGTTGTGGTTGTCGCCGAATCTTATAGAGTGTGTCTATGTTTGTCTGCATAATGTGATGAAGAGCATGACTATGAATGTTTCATGATTTTGTTGAGCATGATGTGTGTGAGTTGTTGGTGAGGGCTACTTACAGAGTATATTTTATATACTCACCCCCTCTACAATTATTGTTTCAGGTGAAGGATTCGTTGGCGACCATGGTGATGAGACGGAGGAGACATGACGAGCGACGACCATAGGCTGCGTAGTTACTTTTGCTTAGCTTAAGTTTTAGATGGTTAAGACCTTATGTTTTGGTCAATAAACTATTTGTTCTTATTTGAATAATTGGGAGGTTCCCACTTGTTGTTTATTTTATTTCGGGATAGGTGTTTATTTTAGTTTCCTTCCATTCATTGAGTTTTGCCTAGTTGGAATAATAAAGTTGCCTCATGAGGTTGTCCATGGATGATGTTGATTGATATTCTATAGAGTTGATTCATTGTTAAATTGATGAAAGGTGAAGCTTGATTTTATATAATTATTTCACAGGGAGTTGACATCTCTTGTTTGGGGTTAAGTTTAGACAGTTGGGTAGTTAACGTGACCTAGAAGTGTGTGAGAAGTTATGGGGCGTTACAAAATGATTAAACTCATTAACCAAAGTAACCAACATTCGTTAACTATGACTCACTCCACTGAAGACCCACAACTGCACTCTTTGCACGGTAGAATATTTTGCATCCACGGATATTGACCATTAACGACAAGTCAATCCTTCACAAGTGTTCGTAACCACAGCTGGATCAAATTACCGTTTTACCCCACTACAACAATTGTCACATTCAATGTCAGTTAGTAGTTTATAAATAATGATAGTTTTAAAAAAGTGGATCTACAATGTCGGTTTTAAAACGACATCGAGTGTTGAAAAATAAAAAAGTAAAAAATATGATTGAGTTGAGATACAATGTCGGTTGAAAAGTGACATCAAATAGAAAAAAATAAATTTAATTAAAAAATAACTGTACTTTATAATATCAGGCTTTTAATGTTGGTTCTAAACCATTACAAAATATTTAGATTCAATGTGATTTGAAAAGTGATATCAAATTGTTAAAGAAAA